GCAGAAACGCCTGCATATTTTCAAACAATGCCGCGGTTCTTTCGGTAAAAGGCGTGTACAATTATGGCGATGGAAACCAAATCGATTCGATTATCCGGTTGCGCGTTTTGTGACTCAAAACCAGCTTTTGCGAAAACCTCCTCATTTAACTCGATAATGGGTTTGCGTGACAAAAAACGATTTCTCGGTTGTCACAAGAATTCTGACCATTTCGCTTACACGACAGACAGACGATGAGGCGATGGCTGAGTGACGACGAAACGCAACAACGACCAAGTTGCGCTTAAGCAGGTAATCAGCCAATTACCGACCAGCTCATCGCTTTCGCCCATCCTTGCCAAATGGAGCGGATTGGAGGCCACAAAGCATGGCGGTAGCTGGCAAAGCTTTGGGCAAGCACCAGAGTCGGTCGGCCAGCTGGTCGACGTTCAGTGTTTTTCTCAGAGGGAAGTTCGAACTCGAAATTCGTGTCTTCCAAACTCCCGAGCCGATCTTGGACTCACTACCCGGAACGCCCGGTCGTTGAGTGAGGAATAAAAAACCCAACCCGGTGCCGGCTTTTCAGAAAAAATCTCCCCGTCGTCGCCACCAGCACCCGGTCGACCGACTGACACGCAAGGCTCATTGCTCTACGAGACCGTCTGCCCCAGGGCTTTCGTCTCACCGCGCAGGTGGCCAGACCATCGACCGGCCGGCCGGCCGGTGAGTCAAACGGCTGAGCATCACCTGAGCATCACAGCAACGGACAATTCACTCAGTGTTGCTCGTATATTTCAGACACTCATGACTCCTCAGCGAAACTCGCTGAACAGTAATTAGGTGCTGCTCCATTTGCATAAGTGTCATCGTTGCTAATTGTAGTCAAACGTGGCGGCGAACGCCTCGCTTGATAAATGCGCAAGAAACGAGGCTAGTGCTTGACCGCTGTCCGGCATTCTGTTTGCTTGCGCAGCTCGATGCGCAACGGTCGAGAAGCTCTCCAGACCAAGGCAGTGCGTTGCAACTTGTAACGGTTGTGTTTTCCGGTATCTACATGCCACGAGGCTATAACATATTCTTAACTGAGGGAGTGTGGGGGGAGCATATGGTAAGAATATCAGATAGTGAAAGAAGTCGATCAATTTTCCTCACTGATTAAAGCCCCAAGCCTACACTACATAAATGGACTTGACAAGGCAAATTTCGGTTTTTGCTAAAAAAGAACTGCCTGCACGGAATGCACTTGCAGAAAAACACCTGTCGTCGATTCGAGTGATGTTGGCTACACCGTACACGTCCCTGACCTAAAAGAAAGGCGCAGTTGAACGCAGCGACGACTGCGGTAAAGTGATGATCCGCGGCGTCGCCACTGTCCTTGGGAGGGCTCGTTTGTACGAGGAGGAGGTAGGCGTAGGCGACGAGCGAAGTTGAGTGCAAACTTGAGTTACACGCACTCGCGAAGTCGGCACCAGCTGTTCACAGACAGCGGTGCTTAGATGGACTTTTCAAACAGAAAAAAGCAACTACCTACAGCAAAAAATGAAACCACCCACAGAACATGAACCCGCTCAACGCACCGTACGTTTTTTGCCGTAAATGATACGAATTATTTCAAAACATTACACACATTTGTTCATGTTTTTTTCCTAATAAAAAACAAGAAGGACAGAAGGAAAGTTTGTGACGACTGGAATATCGACTTTCGCTATGAGGCCATTTCTGACGTTTTCTTTTCGTGACGTACGTGATGTGGCACTGGTCCCCATTTCCATGCCATCAGCAGGGAATGCTTCGAAGGCTGATCAGCAGCTGATGTGCGACAAGCATACAGTGTAATGTGCTGCTTCTTTAGCGACCTCAGAAGGAGGAAAGACGACTGACCCTGACCCATCTGGAACTCCATTAACTCTCATTTCTAAGTGCAACGCTGGTCTGAAGCAACGTGTAGCAAAATCACTTCTCAAGGAAATTCGTAGCTAAGAGAAAGATTGCTCATCCTCTGGAATCGAACTCTGAGTTTGATGCCGTCCTCCGAGACCGTCACATCGAAAGGAGGGCCAAATTCTAATGGAGGCCTGTCTACGCACGTACTCTCGCTTATACTCCAGAGGGCTGGATACTGACCGAAGGAGTACGATCTATTGTATATGCTGTTCAGGGTATTTCTGGTGCGATGGGGTTCAAAAAATCTTGAAACACGACAAACTTTCTTTCCACTGAAAGCCGTTCCTGCTGCACCACTAATGGTCACAATTCCGATGGTTTTAACTTGTAATCAGGCTTCGGCAATGACTCTCTTCT